AGCTGGGCTTCTTACCAGAGATCCAAGAAGAAAAGAGCGAAATAAGGTCAACCAGCCAGGAGCAAGAGCTAAATGGACTTGGTAACTTGTCTTTGACTTCCTTCTCTCCAGAAACCCACATATGCTAATTTTTTTGAAATATCTGAAGATCTTTCCTATTGAGTCAATTGTATTCTTGGTTATTTCGTACTCTAGTACTTTATTGAAGTGAATGTTAAGGTTTGTGTAGTCAGTAAGGGACCGACACTTTCTTGTTCTTTCCGACAACTGTGAAACTCGATCAAAATTTTCTGCGAGTATTCATGAACTGAAAGACTTTTAAAACCTTGAAATTAATCTCTTAATCACGCTTCAGGAAAAGACGTTAAGAAGCAGCAGTTTTTGTCCGCAAATGAAGAAGATGTCTAATTTGGCCACCTGTTTCTCAACTAGAATATTTCTCCAGTACATTTCTTGGGAGCTCTTGCGTCCTTTCAAGAGAGAACTGTCGGAGAGATGTAACAATACTCACCACGCAATTGACGAGCAGAGCAGTTCAGCGAGTTGTTTTGGGAGGCTCCTATTTTCACAAAACAATTTGAACTCCCCTTTGAAGTACTGTTTCATAAATCCGGTGACCGTTAATAAAATATACGGCTATGTCCCTGAAGATCCCGTAGTAAAGCGCATTCGCTTCATAATTTACATTACCTGGCCACCAAAGAACTTTAATGAAGTAAACTACTAACGCATTTTGCTACTGCGAAAACGTAGTCATTTAAAAGAAGAGTATCAAAAAAAGGCCAAGTCAGTTCGAACAATCAGCAACCGCCCAAATGTAACAAATGGGGGAGGTAACAGATGACAGCATTTACAAGGGTTGTGGCCCTTAATAATACACCTGTTGCTTCTGAATTACAGATATAATTAAACTGAAGGGGGAATCTGCATAGCAAACAAGAGTCTCAGTAAGACCTACCTGTAATAAAAACTAGAAGCATTCACCCAATCATTATGCTGGAGACATCTGGTGGGGAGTTAAAAGAAAACAGTATTTTATGGAAGTAAGCTAGATGTGTTCCAATAAGATCACCCGTACTTAAGTAAATAAAACTTAAAACGAAACGTGTAAAACGGAAAACGGATATTAGATCCACTTTTCAAAAAGTAAAGTATTTTTCCAGACAAAGCTGCACGGAACTGCAAAAGAAAGCAGCGACATTTGAGCCCAACAGATCACGGCTAATACCTTCAGAATTATGCCTAAGAGCATACTGAATCGCATTTATGGCAACCCGCTTAATTCAAAAAGAACCATATTAACTGCCTCAATGTGGTGGAATGCCTCGGGTAAGACGGTCAAAGGCAGGGGAGAAAGCTCAGTATGAAATGTAAACAACTTAATACAAGTAAAGCATCATAAAAACAAGCAGAATTTCATAAAGCGAAACATGCGATCAGCTGCTGGATGAGATAAACAAAGACGGGTACGGGGAAAAAAAAAAA